AGTTGAAGTCCACGCGTCTTAAAGTGGCCAAGGTTGAGGAACACTGATTTAAGCCCTCTAATAGGTGTAATACAAGGTATCAGAGATTTACCAATCACCCCAATCAATTGGGAATTGTTAAATTGATTCAATCAGCTAAGCCGAATCATCCCCAAAATCAAGATTACTTTTTTTAAAAAATGCAAAATTCCAATCTGGAGAGGCCCATGTTATTATCATTTTTTTAAAATCAGCGACTCACCATTCTAGCCCTGCTCCCAATCCTGCATCTAACCATTATCCCACACTGCCCCATTTCTTTCCCCCACCATCTCTGGATGGAACCTGAAACTTGCAAGCCATCTCGGACCGCTTCACACGTATTGCAACCCGGTTCTACTCAGCGGCACTGAATTCCGAGACCCCTAATCTCAGCCTCGGGGTCTTGAAATCGACCCCTCCAAAAAGCATCCGGTTGGACTGCCGGGCCCAACACCTTTCCTTCCTCTTTTCTTGCTCTCCATCTTCAAATCGTGAACAATGCAAGCTTTTTACACTGAGCAACTAGGAAGGGGGGGTTCCTATCTTTAGGGACCAAAGGTACAAGTGCATTATTTTTCTTTTCTTGGCCAAATGATGGGGATTTCGGAAGGAGTGCCATTCCCAGTGCATTTGGAAAAGGGAAAAAAAAAAATCTCCGGGGGATTTCTCTTCTTCCTCCCAAACCTTGTGCCCTCGCCCCGCAAGCGAAGAAAAGGAGCATCCGTAACGCTACAGAAAGCAAAACATTTTTCTGAGCTGCGATGGAAGAGCAGCTAGAACAAGGCTGAAACACCGCCAAGGGGGTTGGGACTACAGCTCCAGTGAGTCCCTGCCAAAGATCAGGGATGCTGCGTTGGGAGCTCCACCAAAATGGAGGAGTGAGCAATTATGAGCTTGACAACCTCGGAGGCGGCACTGGGAAAGGTGTCCTACTGACAAACTGGAGGTGTCCGAGGAAAGCCGGCAAGATGAGGAGGAGGAGCCTAGAGGAGAAGTGGTTGGAGGTGGTGGGTACGATTCTCCAGAAGATGGCGGGGAGATGGGGCGGCTGCCTTCAAGGCATCTGAACAGCCGTCAGGTAGAAGGTGGGGTAGAATTGTCCCACGTTGGGCCAGAAGACAGGAGAAGACAGAAGGAATTGAAAATATGAGGAAGGAGATTTTGGTTGTAGATCCGGAAGAATTTGCTAAGAGTAAAGGTGGTTGAGGCATGAGACAGCCTTGGGAGGTGGTAGATTCATGCCTTGGTTGGACTAGGTGATCTCCAAGAACCTTCCAGGCTTTCCGCTTTGGGATTTTACTCCAAGGAAGAATTTCCTAATGGAAAAAGCGGTTCAGCTCTGGAACAGACTGCCTTGGGAGGTGCTTAAATAAAGGATGGATGGCCACCGGTCAGGGATGCTGGGCAGAGGGTTGGTCTCCATGTTCTCCAAGGTCCCTTCCACGTTAGGATTCTGTGGCCAGGGAACAACTCCTAATAGGAAAAGCTGTTCAGCAAGGGGACAGGGGTGGGAAACTCTGCTTGGATGGAGGTCTTTAAAAGAGGCGGGATGAACATCCGTCAGGATGCTGGGAGAGTGGAATCCTTTGTCGGAGCGTTGAACTAGATGATCTTCAAGGGAGCTTCTTATATGCCATGAGTCTCTCTTTTCATGTTGCAAGATAAGGCTTTAGAGCTTGCACAAAGATTTCACCTTCCCAATCTCCAAAGGGCACCGCTGATTTTCAACCAGTGAACCAGCAAAATCTGGAAGCCCAGAGGACGGCAGATCCAACAGCTGTCCAAACCCAAGAAATGTGTTGGCCCTCTCTGGCCATGAGGGCCCTGGTTGCCCACTCTTACTTTATTCATTCCATAAAAATGCCTCCAGTGTACCCTCTAGTACAGGGTTCCTCAACCTTGGTGACCTGAAGACGTGTGGACTTCAACTCCCAGAATTCCCCAGCCAGCCTTGCTGGCTGGGGAATTC